TGTTTTCCCTGGGGGGAAAAAATAAAAAAAACAACCCCGAGTGGGTCCCTGGGGGTAGTGATGAAGGTGCTGATGGCCCCTCGTCTCGTGCTGCCCTCCCCAGCTCCAAGGTGTACATGGCCGACCTGGAGTCCACCCTGCACTACTCCCTGCGGGTGGAAGCCGCCCGTGCCGCCGCGCTGTCCGGAGCCCAACTGGCCGCTTTCAAGTGCTACGTGGCCACGCTGGTGAAGGTGAGCAGTTTTCCGTGGCGACGTAGGACCCGCCCACGCCTCCCTTTAGCTCTTTGTACGGTGAAACGCCAACGCAGGGTGCAGGCTGTTGTCCCAGCAGGTAGCGAAGTGTGGCCAGCTCCGGTGTGAGCCCCATGTCCTGGGGCTCGGCGCGAGGCTGTCCCCAGCTCCACGGAGCTCCAAACCCAGCCCAGGGTCCCAACGGGATCCGGTGGCCCGAAGCAGGTGCTGGGGGGTTTCGGGCAAGACCCGGGTACCGGTGGGCAGAGAGGCTCAGTGCTTGCAGGAGCCGTGGGGTCGAGGCAGCAGCTCTGCCCAGAAGAGGGGTGGCAGAGGCGATGCTTGGCTCGGGGAGCTGATCTCTGAGGGCTCCTTGGATTTTTCTGAGAAAGGGGCTCCTGCTCTCAGTCAGGCTCTGGAAAAGCCTGAGTTAAGGTCATGTTTCTCCTCTGTTGGGCTTGAAGTGTGAGGAGCTTGGAGTCAGCAGAGCAGGGCAGTTTAATTTTGTGGCGCGATGGAGCGGTGTGTTTGGCTGAGGTTTCTACCCGTGAGGTGGAAGGAGCTTTGTCCCCATCCCCACCTACCCCAGCCCAGGCTTCCCCAGACCTTCATCCAGCCGTGTCTGCCGCCTCTGCTCCCTCCTTCGTCCCTCGGGGTCTCGCTCAGTTTGGACCCCGCGTTGATGTGCAGCCCCCTCCCCCCCCCCCTCCCCCCCAGCAAAGGGCTCCAAACACAAGCCACTGGTGCAACAAGTCTTAAATCCTCAACTCGGAGCTTCCTTCGCTTCCCCCCAGCCGTTCCCCTCGCTATTCGTCCCTTTAACGAGATCCGCAGGGTGACGGGAATAAATCCCGCGTCGCACCGGCTCCCTGGCCGAGGCAACGAGCGTGCTGGGGCGGTGGGGGGCAGCAGCAGTTTTATTTGATCCCCTTTTAATTCTTCCCGCAAACCTTCCCCTCCCTGGCCCGGGAGGCAAAGCCGCGTCCCCGCTGCGGGCAGGAGGCAGCGGGGCGGTGGGTGCCGGCGCTTCCCTGAGGATGCTGAGCTGGCGCTGCCGTTGCTG